TATATATATGTATATATGTATATATATATATATATATAATGTTATTATCATTAGGGTTCAGTTTTGGCTTTGAGAATTCTGTCAGGACAACCTTTGACATTTCTTTTCTATTCTCGGGTAATATCTGATCGCGAGAAGGTGTTTCGGCTATAACTCATCATGAGGTGGTGTGTATCATTTCTTATTCCCCTTTCTTTTAACTGCTTACTCCCACCTTCCCTACGCTCCAACCCTACTGTTTCTCTGTCGTCAGCTGTAAACCCCATCTCTTGCTGCAGCAATTTATCTCAACGGCTCCCCATTGTTGCCATATACCCATCCCACAACACTTGCTATTTCCACCGATCCAAATCCCTCTCATTTATTGTTACCACATTCCATCCCATCCCATTGCTCCAGCTGCACTCCCAGCCCCTCCAGCTGCCCTCCCAACCCCTCCAGCCTGTTATGGGCTGCCGCCAACCCATCCAAGTCACTGGCAGCTACCGCAACCTTTCCCCTGGCTTCCACTTGTTGCCAAAACTGCCTTCCAACGACCCTGCTATCGCCATCTCCTACCAGCATATCTACCTGCTGGCCAGCTGTCACTTACTCTTTTGTTGTCATCCTGGGGTGTATATTTTATGTTTGTTATCATTTAGTTCTTGTTTTGAATATTCGTCATTGTAACATATTTGAACTTCAACAATAATATTTTCATTTCTATTGTGGTTTGGGTTAACTCCGGTATACTGGTTTGCATAAAGGACATTTTATTAATTTTTAAGTGATTCTATTGATGTTATGTTATGTTATTTTTTTAATTTTAACTTGGCCCCGATGACAAGTCATCTCAAAAGATGGAAGTTGTCTTTGAGGCAGAGGTTTCAATTGGGATCGTGGTTGTCGGTAAACTGAATTTTTTTACTCCAATCACCTCCTTTAATTTTTTTCTACTAAATTGATTTATAAAATATCATTATGTGAGCAAACTTTGGGGTGATGAATCAATCAGGTTTACAATGACCTTGCTGCAATTTCAATGAGTATGTCACAGAATTCTTTGGCTTGTGATTTGAAATGACACCACCTCAATGCTCCCTCTTTTAGTGGTGAGAAGGAGAGTGCTCCTACGACAGTCATGAGAGGTGAGAATGCTAACAAACCGAGGCCCTTGTGAAGGCTTGAAGAGGTTATCATGAATTTTGCTCCTTTTTTTGCTCATTAGTGATGGCCTTGATGGTCTCCCCAACGTAGAGGTGGCACTAGAGTCTACTGAAGGGGTTGAGTTGTCAAATGTAGTAAGGAATATACCAATTCAAATAGTGGCTAGTGGAGGTCATCTTTGGTGGTTCAACAAGACATGCTGTTGGCAGCGGGATGCGACTTCCTGAGTCAACCTTCTCTCTTAAAGGCCAAGGTGGAGTTGTGGCAGAGAGAGGTGCTTGAGAGGGTAAGCGTTCTAAAGAGTTAGACAAGTCTTGAGGACAAGGCCATTTATTTTCAGTCGGAGGGCTTTAGAGGCTCTGAGGTCTAATCAAATTCTGGATGGAGGTAATTTGTTTAACAACATTTGGTGAGGAGAAAGTGACTTGCTGACATCCTTGTAGACTCAATTCTCAAATTTTTTAATGTGGTTTCTTGGGAAGATTCTGGTGAACGGTTGAGTCTTCTATGAAGTTACATTTTTTAGTATTCTTTGAAAATTTTTTGTAGTTGTTGACTTAAATGTAATGTGCTGCTTCAACTCATTATGCTTTTGTTGCAATGTAATGTATGTTTCTATCTGTCATTTGATATAAATTGTTTCCTACTCGTGTTTGCTATAATGTGCTTATATTTTTTGTGTTTTTGTCATACTTATTTTGCTAAAATTTTAAGTTTATGCTCTCTATTATTCCTACATGCTTGTGTTGATGAAAATTTGTGTTAACTATGAATCATAGGCTAATCGGTCAAAGGGTCATCTTAACTGAGTTGAAGAGAAAATTTTTAAGTCGTCTTTGAAAAGGAATTGATGTTCCAAGGTCATTCCATAATTTGTTTGACATGGATTGCGACGGGGCTAAAGTCACCTTCTTATGTTGCTTTTAAAAAATGTAAAGTAATGATGTTGTTTCCTTTATTATGGAGGTTGCCATTTCATAATAGTAAAATTTCTAAAATATTTTTGATAATATCTCCCTTGATGGTAAAATAGTTTTAAATTTTTATTGTGGTTACTTTTTTTGTTTTGTTCTCTCTGGATCTCAGAGTTACTTTCTCAGAAAATCTTTTATGTTTTCTTCTTAATCGACTCCATTGTTTCCATCAATGGCAAGTGCCTTGAAGAAACATTTTGAGAAGGCTAGTTCTCTAAGGTGCTATCTACCCTTATTCTTTTTTAGGGGTTTTATATTTGAAGACATTTATTTGGTTTGAGCTTCGAAGGAGGGTTAATATCCTAACAACTTCGTCAATGGTGAACTATGTTGTTATGTGTATCATTTGATGTCTCTACTTTCTATGTTATTTGGTCTCTCATATTTTCTTGAACTCAATTATGAGATGGTTTCTTTTATGCTTTACTTGTGTAAGAAGAGCTTTAAGTGGAGACCACACATTTTTGATATCTACCAATACTTCTTCTTTCAATCAAATTATATAAAGCTGTTCAACCTAGATAATAAAATAAAAAATTGGAAGGATGTGTATTCTTTTGTGAGTAGGCTCTTTTATTGAGTTAAGTTTGCATTATTGCATGAGATGGCTCTTTGGTCAAACATGATATTTTTCATTGGCGAGACAATTCTTTTGATCGACTAAGCTCGTTTTAATTTTTGTATAGTTCACCCAAGTCTTACTCGTTATTGATTTGTTTGGCATATCTCCTTTGGTAAATCGTTGCCTATTAATGGGTCTCATATTTTGCTAGAGCTTGGTCCTAGTAGGGTAACTATTTAGACTAGCCACTACAGTGGGTTTTAATGCTACTCATTATGGATCTTGTCTGGTAAAGTGGACTCAAACCCTATGGTTTAGACCTGTCTAAGGAGGATATATAAAAAGGACAAGTTTGATGCTTAGGTTTTTAAAGGCAAGTTCCGAACGATTTCTTGTGATGGTGCCTAAAACTTGGTAAAAAAATGTTTAGTCAGTCATCTATAAAACTTGTTATTGATATTTGCATCTTTTAATGTAATTATATAGTGAGAGGAATCTTAGGGATTTTTTATTTTAAATTTGTTATATTTCTTTGTTTTACTATGTCCATTCGAGGCAGAAAGAAGTTGGATGATATTATTAAGCTCGTACTATCCTTCCCATGGGGATAGCTCTCATTCAAGGAATAGCCTCATTTTTGGTCGAGTTATTGTGATTTCAATACATAATTTAGTTGACTTCGAATTCTATTAGCCCAGTTATGATTTTATTTTATTTTTAATGTCAACCTCGTACCTTGACTTTGTAGTTAGTCCAGGTTTAACTTTTTTATTTTTTAACCTTTTTCTTTATATTTTTCTTGTTTAATTTTAATCACCGTAAACTTGCTCCATGCGGTGAGTTCTTTGAGTGTCTTCATTGGGGCATGTTTCTTGAATTTCTTTTCGACTTATTTTTAAGCTTTAAGTTTGTTTTATGAACTCATTTTGTGATAAATTTATTCCTAGGGGTGTTTGTTTTACTCAGATGACGAAAATGTAGTACAATGAATACAAGTAATGAAATGAAAAAGAAAAAGATTAAGAAAAAAAAGGTTTGACTTGTTCCCTACTTTGTCTTAGGGCCTTCTTATGTTAGTCTATACCCAGTATTCTATCGGGCCATGTTATTTATTGTTAATCCAAATTTGTTGAGTAGGGATTGGTGAGCTGTAGCATCGACTTTCTTTAACATTAAGTTGTCAGCATAAAATTTATTTTCTTTTAATGTTAGAATTGTAATATTTGCTCGTCATTCTCGTAGCTTTTTTTTATTGCTGATTTTATTATGTTCTCCTCTAGTAGGTCAAATACAATCTTTAGCTCTTTTTCATTTGATTCTCATTATTCATTGAATTTGCCTTCATAAATGTAGGCAGCTTTATCATTTGGTTATGTAAGCTTTTGTTCAACTAGGAATAGCACCTTGGTTTTGGTTATAACATGAATGGTGTTTGCCTAGCCGTTGATGATAGAGTTGTTCTTAGGGCTCATAGGACAGAGTAGGATGTCCCCCTATTTGTCTTTGGGGCCTTTGATTTTCTTCTTTTATAGAAAGGGGTTTGCTCCTCAAGTAGATTTAGATATAGTGTCCAAAGATAAATTCTGGAATGACTTAGAAAACTTAATACAAATGATACCTCTTGAAGAAAAAATTTTTATTGGAGGAGATTTAAATGAACATGTCGGTAGAGTGGTATAAGATTTCATAAATATTCATGATGGATATGGTTTTGGAGTGACTAATGAAAAAGGTAGAGCTATTTTAGATTTTGTTTTAGCGCATGATTTTATTATTACTAATACTTTATTTAAAAAAAGAGATGAACATCTTATTACTTATAAGAATGGATCTAATAAAACACAAATTAATTATTTTCTTATGAGAAGAAGAGATCTTCGAAATTGTAAAGATTGTAGAGAATTGTTGAGAATGTAAAGATTGTATGATCATTCCAAGTATGAATTTAAATACTCAACACCGATTATTGGTTTTAGATTTTAAGATGAAGAGTTGTAAAATAAAGAATACTATGAATTATTGTCATAAAATTAGATGGACAGATGGGAGAATCTAAAAGACACTAATAAATTTATTTTTACGAGTAAAATTCAAAATTTTAAAATTTGGGATGTTCATGATGAAGCAAATGTTATGTGGGATAAAGTAACAAGCACTATTAAACAAGTAGTAAAAGATGTACTTGGAGAATCAAAAGGAAAATTTTCTATAAATAAAAATAGTTGATGGTGGAATAATAATGTGCAAGAAAAATAAAATATAAGAAGTTATGTTATAGAAATTGGTTTAAATGTAAAAACTCAGAGAACTGGAAAAAATATCAAACGGCCCGCAGGTTGGTGCCGCTAAAAATTCTGTTTTTATTAATCTTTATAATAGATTATATACTAAAGAGGGTGAGAAATATATGTATAAACTAGCCAAACAAAGAGAAAAGAAAAGTAAAGATTAAACTCAAGTAAAGTATATTAAAGATGAAAATCAAAAAGTAATTTTCTTAGACAAAGATATTCAACAAAGGTGGGTGAATTATTTTGATAAAATTTTTAATGAAGTTTTTGAAAAAACGATTGACCATAGTGATCTTAAGATCGTTAATAATAATAAAACATTTCATTTTTACTGTCGCATTAGTAAAAAAGAAGTTGAGTAGGCTTTAAAGAAAACCAAGGGTGGAAAGTCTGTAGGACCTGATGATATCCCAATTGAAGTATGAAAATATTTAGGAGATTCAGGAGTTTCTTGGCTTACTAAACTCTTTAATATTATTTTAAAAACAAAAAAGATGTCTGACGAGTGGAGGAAAAGTATTTTGGTCCTCATTTTTAAAAATAAAGGGGATGCACAAGAGTGTGCAAATTATAGAGGGATTAAGTTGATGTGTCATACTTTAAAGTTATGGGATAGGGTAATTGAAGGGTAATTGAACATAGGAACATAGGTTAAGACGTATTACAAAAATTTCTCATAATCAATTTGAATTTATGCCGGGCAGGTCTAATAGGGAAGCTATACATTTTTTTAGAGGTTTGATGGAGAAGTTTAGATAATAGGGAGAATCTACATTTGATTTTTATTGATTTAGAAAAAACTTACGATAAGGTTCCAAGAGATATCTTTTGGAGAGTTCTTTTGTCTTTTGGAGAGTTCTTGAGAAGAAAGACGTTGATATGACTGATATTCAAGTCATTAATGATATGTGTACTAGAGTTGTTACTTGTGTTCGAATTGAAGGAGGATTGACCAAATATTTTCCTATTTCTGTTGGATTACATCAGAGATCGGCTTTAAGCCCACACCTTTTTGCTTTAGCACCTTTTTGCTTTAGTTATGGAT